GATCTTGCCTCTAGAAAATAGTTTTTAATAGAAGTTAATCAAACACACTGAAGGAATGAATTTATTTTACTCTTAGAAGGGAGAAGACCACATTGCTTCATAAAATAATTTTATGTGGAAATGCTTGTTCAACAATTGTACAAAGCTAAAGTTGCCTATCATAATATTCAAGTTACATATTTAGTGGATCTAAAGTCACTGAAAGCAGCAGAGACTGATATCATTAGGGTTAGACAGCATCACCACCAGATGGATTCGTAGCTGGCTGACTGGCCATACTCAGCGTGTGGTCCTCAATGGAACCGCATCTACATGGAGGGAAGTGTGTAGTGGGATGCCACAGGGCTCTGTTCTACGCCCAGTGCTCTTCAACATCTTCATCAATGATTTGGACAAGGGGATAGATGGGGAGCTCATCAAATTTGTGTATGACACCAAGCTGGCAGGAATGGCCAACACTCCAGAAGACAGACTTAAGATACAGGAGGACCTGGACAGACTTGAACACTGGGTGCTATCTAACAAAATGAAATTCAATGGTGAAAAAAGTAAGGTTCTACATTTAGGCAAGAAAAACCAAATGTACAGGTATAGTATAGGGGGTACCTTGCTCAATAGTAGTAACTGTGAGAGGGATCTCGAAGTCCTAATGGATAATCACTTAAATATGAGCCAACACAGTGCTGCGCTGCATTAAGAGAGGGATAGAATCAAGATCACGTGAAGTATTAATACCACTTTACAATGCCTTAGTAAGGCCACACTTGGAATACTGCATCCAGTTTTGGTCACCACAATGTAAAAAAGATGCTGAGACTCTAGAAAGAGTACAGAGAAGAGCAACAAAGATGATTAGGGGACTGGAGGCTAAAACATATAAGGAACAGTTGCTGGAATTGGGTATGTCTAGTTTAACGAACCGGGGGGGGGGGGGACATGATAGCAGTGTTCCAATATCTCAGGGGCTGCCACAGAGAAGAGGGAGTCAAGCTATTCTCCAAGGTGCCTGAAGGCAGAATGAGAAGCAATGGATGGAAACTGATCAAGGAGAGAAGTAACTTAGAACTAAGGAGAAACTTCCTGACAGTTAGAACAATTAACCAATGGAACAACCTGCCTCCAGAAGCAGTGAATGCTCCAACACTGGAAGTTTTTAAGAAGAGACTGGACAGCCATTTTTCTGAAATGGTGTAGGGTTCCTGCCTGAGCAGGGGGTTGGACTCGATGACCTCCAAGGTCCCTTCCAACTTTATTATTATTATTATTATTATTATTATTATTATTATTATTATTATTATTATTATTATTATTATTATTATTATTATTATTATTATTATTATTATTAAATGATAAAGTTCCATCAGTCTTATTGATCAGTTTTTAATAAGTGTAATTTGACAGAATTCAGTCCCCACCTTTCTCATTCTTGCCTTGATCATCTTCCTGTGTTATCAAATCAAGAGTAATAGCTCCTGTCCCTGAAGTATTACCCTTTGACCAAAAGACTATCATGGGTTTGACAAATAATGATTATGATTTGAGAATGGCTCTATTGACCACTAAATTTAGTATTCCCCTATGCCTTCCTTACCCTTTCAAGATATTTTATTTTTTTTATAAAAGCAAGTGCCCAAATGGCAAGGGATCATATAGATGTCTATGTGATGATCTAGATATATATATGTGATGATCTAGATATATATGATCTAGATATAGCAGAAGAGAGAGTTGTTAATATGTATCTAATACACCATTATTTTTTATTTATTTATGCTCCCAGATCAACAAAAATAGAGATATGTTTTTTTAAAAAAATACAAAAAGAAACAAACCTAAAATATTAATATCGAAAACAGAGTATCAATTAACTTCAGAAAACCATAGTTGCTCTAAAGTATAAATGTGAAAAGGGGGAGGGTTTCAACTTTTTATTCCTTTTAGATTTCTGCTGCTTTGCTATATTTATAGTAGATCTTAGAATAACAGTAGAGACATACATTTAACTCCTTTGGAAGAAAATTATTTGTTAAAGATTTAAATACAACCAAAAAAAGATAACAGAGAAAGATAACAGAGAACATGGAAGTATTTTGCATGTCTAGAAATGGATAAATTATCAGGAATTCTTTTATTGGATTGTTTCTTGTCATGAACACTGCATTATTATTTTTTTGCATGCATTTGTCACACAGTGTATATTTCCAGGAAACTTCATTAAGAACCAACAATTGGATACCTATAAACCTGCTATTATAACTAATATCAATTAAAATAGTTTCATCCTTCCTGAAAAGGTAATTCTTGATCTGGGCTAATTAGTTGGCCTGGCATTAATGATAATTCAATACATAGCTATTATTGTTAACTGGAATATGATATTTACAGAAGTAAAGAATCAAAGAATGGAGCAAAAATATCCCACTCCTCTCAATTCCTGCCTAAGACTTTCCAGGATAAATTATCTACAAAATGTACGTGGGCATAAATATTTTTTTTGGCCTGACCAAGTTAGACATTTATAGATTATGACTTTTGCTGTGATAAATCACAACTCAAGCCTGTCAATGAAGGCTTGAGTTGGTGGATGTTAGTACGTATGTCCATTAATGAATCCAGTATTTGCTGTTATGCTCCTCCTATCTGCCTGATCTTTTACTTAACAACAAAAAGTAGCTAGTTTGCTCTTTGAAAGTAGCTGAGCCAAAGTGACTAATGAGCATTTGAGTTAGGACATGTTAATTGGATCAAGTTATTTTGTCTTGAGAAAATGAATTCTTGATATAGATACATTTGATCCTTTTTGAATTCCAACTTCATTCAGTTCCATGGCACAGCCATATTCTGTATACTTATAATCTTGATTTTCATTGAATGACAGACAACAAATCTATGGCGATAAAAAATACAATATTTCTCTTATGATGATAAGAACAATCTTTTGCTATCAGGAGATCCAATAGCAACAAAAAGAAAAAAGAGAAAGAGAAAGGAGAAAACTTATTTAAATGTCATGCATAAAATCATATGTTTCAAAACTGAAGAGAAAATGCATGGTTAGTTCCAAGCAAACTGCTAAATGATAAAGTAAGTTCTTTCTTTATATACTTTACATTTTAGAAAAAGAAGAAAAAAAACATTTCTCAATTTCTTAGACAACTTTAACATTTGAAATATCAATGTATTTGACAATTTCATCAACATAAAGAGATTAAACAACAGCAAACAGTAGAGCTGGGCTTTCTTATAGTCTATAATCAAAGACTGTAATATTTTATCATAATTCAATTAATTTCTAAGAAAGTATCTCATGACAAGATACAATCTGTGGACATTTCAAAATATACTAATTACACAGTTATTGCAGATGGTATAAATTTTAAAATTATTAAGGTCAGGAATTCAGAAATGCATACCACTTCTATTGTCCTTACCATTTAACAATATCAAATAGAAAATCTTTTTTATGTTCTTAAAATGATAAGTCCAGTTCGAGTATAAATTAGAATTTTTTGAAGTATTATAAGATACATGAAAAAGTGAGGTATGTATACAAGAATGAAGTCTAACACCTTTATTTACTCCTTATTTCCTTGTTTCCTTCTTTTGCCTCTCTTTCTCCCTCTTTTTCAGCATATTTTCATTTTATTAGTGTTTTTAAAGAAAAACATTAATGCAAAGAGTTTTTCCTCTTTTTTTGTAGAATCTATTACTAATCTGACAATAGCAATAAATTTTGAAAGCATGTGTAAAACATGAAGCAACATGTAAGAACTTACTAGTTCTATTCTATGGAAAATATCCAGATATTTAAAAGGTTTGGATTAATCCAAATCTAGACTACCGTGATCATTTTGTTGAATTTTCTGTGAAAAAAAGGCATTTAGAAAACTTGATACAATTTCACAAATTCTTGTCCATAGTTTTCTTTTCAAGAATAATTTGGATGACTTTCAATAGAAGAGCTAAAACTGCATATCATCAATATGAGTTTATTTACCAAGTCTTTAAAATGTGCTGTGGAGTATACAGGAAGATGTATGTAGTCTCTTTCTACAATACTTTAAACCAATTGCATCGTTTTTATGATCACATGGCAGCTGTGGAAGGCTGCTGCATGAATCTAAAATCCTAGAAAAGGTACCTCTGCTTTAAAGGTTTTATACATAAGAGTTATATTTTGGTTCTTTGACAAAGCACTTTGGGGAGATTAAACCCAAAGTGCTCTTCAGTGCTGTTCTAGTAATCAACTGCTTTATGTGCCTTCTATCTCTTGCATAGGAATTTTGATTACAACATCATCAGTTATTTATCTGCATGCATTTATTTTGTGCGTTAGTTTTATTCTAGCTATTTCACATTTCATATTCACTGTTCTTGGGTTGGTATTTATCTCAGCTTACCATAATAAACATTAATATATTTATTATGACTTCATCATTTGTGGATTAGACCAGAAGATAAATGGAAAATTATAACATTGTTAATAAAAAGTTTACATTTTTACTATTACAGTCCTTTTTCGATTACAGATTTCTAGCTCCTAAACAGAATTAAATCGCTACTCAATTAAAAAATAGCATTTTTCAAAAATAAAAATAAAAAATTTGACCAATTGCTAGGTCTGCTTCCTACATGACTAGTCTATAAAATGGATAGTGTGAATTTGGCTTAGTCTGATATGTGTATCAAGCCAAAATAAATTAAGAAATTTAGATGTATGTTTAGTATGTTTATCATTTTTAAAATAAACAATCCTTTACTATAATTAATTAACCCAGCCAATATGATTAGTATGGCATTCAGCTGGAAAACAGGATAATTTCCCCCTTGAAGGTATTTAAAAGGAGTGTAGAATACTTCTTGCTTTTGGAAAGCTTCCTATATTTTATGCCTACTTCGATTCATATTAATGGTGGGTTTTGTGTGATGAAGGCAACTTAGTCAATAATGAAGAGAGATGTTTTTTGTCACCTTGCACCATTTTCTGTTTTGCCATTGCCAAAATAGGATTCTGGACTTCATAGTACTGAAGTAGCTTCATTAGTATATTTGTTACTTGAGATACAACTGATATCAATGAAGGCATCATTCATAGACAAAGACTGAATATCAGTATTTCCTTCCATTTTAATATTCTCCAATAAAGAATTTAAAATAAGAAAAAAATATTGAAGTTTGTATTCCTATTGAGAAATTTTAAGTATTTCTCTAGCCTCTTTCCCTAAAAAATTGCTGAATTTCTGTCTAGATTATCAGTATGTATGTATGTATTTATGTATGTATATATGTATGATACATATATATGTACTATTTAGAATGAATATTCATATTCATTCATATTATTTTATTCATCAATACTACTTAAAATGCCACCCTGAGCTTTCCATAAGAGCAGAGCTTTTTTCCTTTCTTTTTTTTTTTTTTAAATAATTGTGTTAATCACTACCAACATTTTGATATATCCCCATCCTATCACATGAACATTCAACATATATTTATTTCAGATGGAAATAAGATATCAGTGTATTTCTTTATGAAGAGATTTTCTGATGTCAGCTGGAAATATTTCAAACTATGGTCATGTTTTGCTAGAGTCCCAATTTTATAATATATTTTATTATGATTTTATGTCTTTTAAGAACTGTTAACTAACTTAATTTTAATTTAATAAATTTTATAATAAATTTTCAGACAATGTTCATTTTCCTAGCCAAATATTGTAAATTGTTTGTGTGTGGTGGCTGAGTTATTTTGGCAATTTATATTTTCTGATGACAAATTGCAATCACCTATTTTATGTATTTCATATAAGTAAGTTTCTATGTCTCCTTCCAAACTATTCACCTGAAATTTTGATTCCCTTAGAATGGAAAGGCTAACCAAAGTCCAGTGCTGACTTTCTTGTCTGAAATTGAGAATAAATATTTTTACATAAGAATAGGAGGTCTATGCAGTCTTTGAAAATGATTTGAGAGAGGCTTGGGGGGGAAAAAAAGAAGATATTGCTGTTTGTATGAGTTATTTCCAAGTAATACAGAAGCAAAAAAGAAAAAAAGAAAAAGAGGCTGCTTTAACACATACTAGACAGTACTTGTAGACTTGAAATGTCCAAAGAGCTTTCTGAAAACCCTTTTGGAAGCTTGGAAGTGCCTAATTTAATTTTCCTTTTCTTCTAGATACCTCTTAATAAAATGGATAACATGTCATCTCCTTCCAATTTTCTGCTCCTTCAGTTCTCAGCAGTTTGGGAATTACAGATTCTACACTTTCTTCTGTTCCTGATACTGTATCTTGCAATTGTATTAGGGAATCTCCTGATTATTTCTGCTGTTATTTTTTATCATTACCTTCACACCCCCATGTATTTCTTCCTGATGAACTTAGCCATTCTGGATCTTGGCTCTATTTCTACTATTATTCCCAAATCCATGGGCAATTCTCTCATGAACTCTAGAAACATTTCTTACTCTGAATGTGTGGGTCAGGTTTTCTGTTTTATATCCTTTGTTGAATCTGATTTCTTTCTCCTCACAGTCATGGCATATGATCGTTATGTTGCCATTTGCCATCCACTGCACTATGGCATATTAATGAATAGGCAAGCTTGTGCACAGATGGTGCTTTGTGTTTGGCTAATGGGAATTTTTAATGGAGCAATGCATACTACAGGCACATTTGCAGTCCCTTTTTGCTCCAATGTTGTTAATCAGTTCTACTGTGAAATCCCACAGTTACTCAAGCTATCTTGCTCTGATTCATACCAACCTGAATTTACTATTCTGGCAATCAATATTATGATAGAAGGAGCTTGTTTTGTCTTCATCATCATAACATATGTGCTGATCTTTACAGCAGTACTAAAAATCCCTTCTGTTCATGGAAGACAAAAAGCCTTTGCTACCTGCCTTCCACACCTCACTGTATTTTCTATATTTATATTCACTGGGTGGTTTGCCTACTTAAAACCACCTTCTAATACTCCATCTAGTTTGGATTTGGCACTGACTATGATATATACCTTTGTTCCACCTCTGCTGAATCCAGTGATCTATAGCATGAGAAACAAAGAGCTCACAGTTGCCTTCACCAAATTATTTTTTTCAGCATGTTCTTCTACAGAAACCTGTTTTAATGTTTTCATATCACAATGAGCTTTGCATTGGCTTAATCACTTTCATATATTTCAGGGAGATTAAAGATATTTTAAATAGAATATTACCAAAATTTAGGCAAAAGCATGTTCCAGAAACTAATATGAGGTTGAAGCTTGAAATTTTATCTGTCTTCTGAACTGGGAAAAACATCAAATGCTCTAATAAAACACACTAACTAAAAACAGATAATATTCTAATGTATGTATTTGTTCCCTGTATTTTGGAAATGCAAAGTTGAAATGTTCTAACTTTTGACTTCTCAAAACTATTTAATATAATTTATTCTCCTCCTCCTCTTTTTCTTTCTTAGTTACACCCATGGTATATTGAGGTAGTCCTTCATTCAGATATAGTTACAATGATAAATGATAAAGATAATAAAGAAAATGCATTTGATTATGTAGTGGAGGTACAGGTAACTATTTATTAACCCTCACCAATAAGTGTTTAGTTTTTTAATGATAAGTTAAGATTCCCTGGAATATTATTTGCTATTTCTTTTTAAAAACTCTTGTTTATACTGAGCTATTTGCACAGTCTCTACTACAGTTCCTTACATGCAGATCTGAAGTATTTAACCAAGGAAAACCAAATAAACGAAGAAAAAATATATGCATTTGTTACAGAGATTTTAGTTTTGAAAGTGAAGTCAGCAAAGAAATTATCTTACACAACAATCAAAGCATTGTTTGTTCCATATATTAAAGGAAGTATGAACAAATTTCTAGCCACATTTTCTCACACCTACATAGACTTAAGGCTGCTAAAATAAGCTAAGCTCCTGAGAAATGGGTCCCCTGAGAAATATTACAAAATTAAACAAAGATAATCCTTTGTTTTTATCTAGCATTCCCACATTAAAAGAAATTGAAGAGCATTTCACTTCATCATGAATACTGCCACTGGTACATAAGAAAAATATCTGAGATTTGACCTCCTATTACAAGCTCTGAAATCTAAAAAGCTGAATGAAAAATAAATCTAGAGTCAATGAATTCCTTTTGCATGGATTCCCTGATACTGAAGAGCTACGGATAGTCCACATCATTGTTTTTTTAATAATTTATTTAGTAGCCCTCATTGAAAATCTCATCATCATCACTGTCATTGTTTATAGCCATCAGCTCCATTCACCCATGTATTTTTTTCTAGTCAATCTATCCTTGCAGGATCTTGGCTCCATCTCAGTCACAGTTCCCAAGTCCATGATGAATTCCTTGATGAACACAGAAGCCATTTCTTACTCTGGATGTCTCTGCCAGGTATTCTTCCTTGTTTTCTTCATCCTGTCTCATTTCTTTCTCCTTGGTGTCATGGCCTATGATCGTTATGTAGCCATCTGTAACCCACTGCATTATGAGGCTATACTGAACAAAAAAGCCTGCATCAAACTGGCAACCAGTGTCTGGATGGGTGGGCTGTCTTATTCAATGCTCCATACAGGAAATTTGTTTATGGTGAAGTTCTGCTCTAGAATCATCAATCAATTCTTTTGTGAAATCCCTCAGCTGCTCAAGATCTCCTGTTCTAACTCTTATGTTGCAGAAGAGTGGATACTCATTCTAGGTTCTTCTTTAGGATTCATTCATGTTGCTCTCATTGTGTTCTCATATGTGAAGATATTTAGAGCAGTTTTGAAAATTCCATCTGTTAAAGGGAAGCAAAAGGCCTTCTCTACCTGTTTACCTCATCTCATAGTCATTTGTCTGTATCTGGTAAGTGGTAACTTTGCATATCTAAGACCCATATCCAGCTCTCCATCAACATCAGATATCCTGATTTCTATGTTTTACTGTGTGGTGCCACCAATCATGAATCCATTGATCTACAGCATGAGGAACAAGGAACTCAAAGTGGCATTCTGGAAGCTGATCATCAATATTTCTTCCAAAACCTGACCCAAAATGTCTAGGTTTTATATACTTTAATAAATGTTGAAAAGTGTTTGCATATTTTGTGGTAGATTTCATCTTCAATGGGTGAATAAAAATATACTTTCCTATGCATATCGATTGATAAATTAAATAGAATTAATTCAGTGGGTTAGGCTTTCTCCTTATAAAATTGATAAAACTACTTATTTATTTTATCAATTTTATTTGCTGCCCTTCTCAGAATCCAAGGCAACTGAGCAGATTACAATGCCCTTATGTAGCCTTGTTGTTTGGTTGCTGTTGTTATTTAAAAAAACACATTTGTATATAGGTATCTTTGACTTACAACAGTTTGTTTAGTGACCATTCAAAGTTACAACAGCACTGAAAAAAGTGACATGACCATTTTTCACACCTATGACCATTGCGGCATCCCCATAGTCATGTGATCCAAATTCAGATACTTGGCAATTGACTCATATTGATGATGGTTGCAGTGTCCTAGGGTCATGTGATCACCTTTTAAGACCTTCTGACAAGCGGTCAATGGGACAGCCAGATTCACTTAACAACTGTGTTAACTTAACACCTGGAGTGATTCACGTAACAACTGTGTCAAGAAAAGTCATAAAATAGGGTAAAACACACTTAACAAATGTCTCACTTAGTAAAAGAAATTTTGGGATCAATTGTGGATGTTAGTCGAGGATTACCTGTACAAATTTGAACGCTATAATCTTTGTGTTACAACATTAAGAAATACTGCTGATGTTAACTGTGCTCTTCAGACATCTTTTCATCTAAAAGATAATTGAATCCCTTTATTATTATTTATATAACTTTTATTTTATTCCAAAAATAATAGAAATATAGAAAATAAATACCAGGTTCAGTTCCTTATCTATATGTGCGTTTCTCTAAATATAAATTTTATACTGGCTTTCTTAATTGTTTTATTTTTATGATTCATACCCATTAATCATATTTATGTACCTGTTTAGAGATTATTAGGGAAAGATAAAAAGAATCACATGTTCCTGTATGCACAAAAAGCAAGAAGCAAAGTGGCTTTTTATATGAATAATCTCCCCACACCCCTGTGGTAATGTTTCATTATATGCAATGTTTTTAAAAAATAGAACTGTGAAGATTAGAATTAGAAAATTACTGAAATATTATCTTTTATGCTGGATATTTTAAAAAGAGAAGAGGGGATGAAATGTTTTACTTATTAGAAGTTTTTTTTTATGTCACCCTTAAATTGAAATAATTTTATCATATATGTACATATAATGTATACAGTATATTAAAGTTATCCTATTGTAGATATAATTTAGGTTTTTTTTATAATATCAAAAATCCCTAACTTCCTGCAAGCAATCTAAGTGTACTCATTAAAAGGGGGGAGGGAAATTTCAGAGGAGACATAAATATAAATCCCCAGAACTTTGCATCATCACCATATTATTAAGCATCCAGAGCTGTGCCATGCTTAGCCTGATTGTGCCTATTGAAGATCAACATTGCATATTTCTATTTAAAAGATAGTGATACTACATTTTTATATGTCTAATAATGTGAAATCATAGCTGCCAGTTCTTTAGCTGGTATTGGCTTTTGTTTGCATCAAGTTCTTCCCATGTTTTTCCCAAGAACCTAGATAGTTATAATGTATCAGTATAGTATATGTATGGATGTAAGTAAGATGGTCTTTTTCAATTGATGGGTGGAAATTTTGTAAAATGCACATTTTCTAGGATCCCCCTGGTTAGTTTATGTCATAGTTTTCAACTACTATTTTCAGATCTTAATACTTTGTGATCATTTCTAGTTCTCTCCCTTGTGTTCTACTATCCTTTGATTCTGCATATTAATTATCCACATTTTCTTCTTTTGAGTCACAGTTAAATCTGATATGTTATGAGCCAGGACTATCAGTTTATATTTGTAAATCCCACAATATTTTAATCTATATATTATTTTTAATATAAACATTTTCAACTACATTTTCCATTATGTCTCACCAATTCTTCACGATTAGCATATAGTTCTCATTCTTTTATAGTTTCCTTTGATATTATTTACTATTTTATTTCAATTCATATCTTTCTAATAAATCGCTTTATAAAAAGATGAAAATTGCCTTTCTGAAACAATATGTTTGTATGTAGATAGGTAGATGGATATCTACAAGTAAATACATAAATATGAATGTGTATATAATGGTTTATTTTCGCTCTTTTTAAAACTTCCATAAAGGTTCAACAGATATCATCAAAAACCATATATAAAAATTTGTACAATGTTGATGGTATGTAAATGCATACTATAAATATTCTACAAACATTTCATTCTGCCCTAAGAGTAATATCCATTTTACTGGTAAAAATACAAAAATATAAATCTTGCTTTCTCTCTTCATATATTTCACTTTCAGATTTTACTTTCAATGAAAAATCATTCTTATCTTTGTTCTCAGCACCTTTTATGTCAATGCCTATTATGATACCAAATCATATTGAATAATTTAAATTTGTATGGAATTTCGGTTTAACTGGAATCATTTTGTCAGAAATATACTATGTAAAATATATTCTAATGCAACGGAACTATTCAGAATAATGTATTAGCTTTTTTAAAATGTGCAATGGAGATACAATGTGTGGAATAGCTTGAAATCCTCAGAAAGCTAATGTCCCCTGCTGTCCCATGTACACTCAAACAAATACTCTGTTTTTTTAGTTGACATTAGAAGCTTGAGATTACAATGGATAGTCATAATTTGTTGGCCTCAGTGACTTGGCCATGGTAAATTTTCCTAAACCTCCCTTGGTATACCTCCCTTGAATGGTACATCATTCAAACACAAACAATTACAACTATAAACTTTACAAATCATAAGATAAAAAATTAATTTGACTATATAATGTATGTGTATAATATTCAAGTAGTCAATATGTACTATTACTAACAAATCCTCAGCTTTCGTAAAGAAAAGTTAAGGTTAGATTTATGTTACCTGGAAAATTATTTGAAATTTCTTGTTAAAAAGTCTCTTTTTTGCATACTTTTACCTATAGCTTCTAACATAAAACTCTGAAGTATTTAGCCAAGGAAAGGAAAACAAAAACTATTATGCATTTGTGACAGAGATTGTGGTTGTGAAAGTGAAATGAGCATAGAAATTATCTTGTACACTAATCAGAAAAGTTGAAAGGCCAATATAGTACAGGTTGTATAGATTAAAGTAAATATAAACAGAATCTATAAAAAAACATCTTCCCACACCTACATGGAGTTTAGTATGCTAAGGTAAGATAGACTCATGAGAATGGCCCCCTGAGCAATATTACAAACTTCCCAAAGAAACACCTCTGTTTTTATCTTTCATTCTCATATTAAAAGAAAAGGTTTGAAGAACACTTCGTTCCATTTTGAACAATGCAACAGGTTAAGAGGAAAAGAGTCAAAGGTTTGACCGCTTATTACAAGCTCAGACATTGAAAAGGAAGAATGGAAAATAAGTCAAGAGTCAGCGAATTCCTTCTGCATGGATTCCCTAATAGTGAGGAGCTACGGATAGTCCACATCATTGTTTTTTTAATAATTTATTTAGTAGCCCTCATTGAAAATCTCATCATTATCACTGTCGTTGTTTATAGTCATCAACTCCATTCACCCATGTATTTTTTTCTAGTCAATCTATCCTTGCAGGATCTTAGCTCCATCTCAGTCACAGTTCCCAAGTCAATGATGAATTCCTTGATGAACACAGAAGCCATTTCTTACTCTGGATGTCTCTGCCAAGTTTTCTTCCTTGTTTTCTTCATGCTGTCTCATTTCTTTCTGCTGGGAATCATGGCATATGATCGTTATGTAGCCATCTGCAGCCCACTGCGTTATGAGAGTATACTGAGCAAAAAAGCCTGCATCCAAATGGCAACCAGTGCATGGATGGGTGGTCTTTGCTATGCAATACTTTACACAGGAAATTTGTTTACTGTGAAGTTCTGTTCCAGAATCATCAATCAGTTCTTCTGTGAAATCCCTCAATTACTCAAGATCTCTTGCTTTAACTCATATGTTGCAGAAGAAGAGATACTCATCTTGGGTTCTTCTTTAGGATTCATTGTTTTTGCTCTAATTGTATTTTCATATGTGAAGATTTTTCAAGCAGTTTTGCAAATCCCATCTACCCAAGGAAAGCAAAAGGCCTTCTCTACTTGCTTACCCCACCTCATAGTCATTTGTTTTTTTCTGGTAAGTGGTACCTTTGCATACCTGAAACCCACATCCAGCTCTCCATCAACATCAGACATCCTGGTTTCTATGTTTTATTGTGTGGTACCACCAGTCATGAATCCACTGATCTATAGCATGAGAAATAAGGAACTCAAAATGGCAATCTGGAAACTGATCTTCAATATTTTTTCCAACACCTTGTCCCAAATTTCTCAGTTTTGTATAGTTTAATAAATGTTGTAATTTGTTTGGCCTTTTTTTGCCACTTTGGTAATTTGTTTGGCCTTTTTCAGTGGGTGATTATACAAATACTAAACTATCTTTTCTTATGCAAATCAACTTGATAAATTAAATGGAACTGATTCAATGTTTTAGGCTGTCTCCTTGTGAAATTAATAAAACTACAATTATTTTATATATTCTTGTTTTTTGTTTAGAACATTGGTATACAAATGTGAGCAGCTTGCAATCAATAAAACTTAATTTAGTTAAAAAAATATTATTGTCACATACCAACATCTAGAATTAGGTCTCTGTGGTACAACTTAAAAGAAATGTAGGTGAATGCTGTCTGTGCTGTTAACTTTTATACACCTTTTCCTCTAAAGGAAAAAAAAAATCATACCTCTGTTCCTTTAAAGATGAAATACATCCATTCGTTATTATTTATATTTGTTGCAAACATAGTAGCAATGTATGGAAAACATACTTTGTGTTTTTATCTATACATGAATTTCTTTAAATATAAATTTTACAATGGGTTTCTTAATTCCTTTTAGGAAAGATGCAATTTTCTGATTCATTCATTCTTTCATTCATTTTGGTTTAGTGGTTAAGGCATCAGGCTAGAAAGTAGATTGTGAGTTCACATCCTGCCTTAGCCATAAAAGCCAATGGGGTGACATTGGACCACTCACCCTTTCTCAGTCCAACTGACTTCCCAAGGTTTTTGTTATGGAGAAAATAGGAGGTGGAAGATGTGTTGGGTATGTTTGCATCCTTGAGTTATTCATAAAAGTAAAATAGGCAGGCAATAAATAAATAAATATGATGAGCTTTGGCAAATCATTCTCTGTCCAGCACAACTCAAACCATAGGGTTGTTGTAGAGAAAATATGAAAAGGAAAGTGTGTTGGATATGTTTTCCATTTTGCATTATTTGTAAAAATAATAAAGCTGGGATACAAATAAATAAATCAACAAAAATATTGAAATAGTAATGTACACAATATCTGTAGCAAAATGGCTGCCACTTTACTATATACTTTATAATATCTGTGAGAGAAAAAGTTAAAAAATATTTCTATTGATCATACATAAAGCTAATGGAGAATATCTGTCTGTCTGTCCATCTATTTCTCTTCATGACTTGAAAAACTTGGATTGCTTTCAACATCAACTTTTTATTTTTTTTCTGTATTGGGGTGAAATATGTCATAGTGTTGAAGCAAATAACATATTAAATTAAAATGTTATTCAAGTTTGAAAATGTATTTTTATGAGTTACCAGCAAGAAGTTACTATTATGAGTATTAATCTATTTTCTAGGCTCCCATTTTTTGTTTATTTTGTTATGAGTTATGAGTATTATGAGTTATGAGTTATGAGTATTAATCTATTTCCTAGGCTCCCATTTTTTGTTTATTTTGTTACATTTAGAAACCCTAATCTTAACCTTCTATTTACTATAAACTACAAAATGTCTGCTCTGCTATTCCCTCAGAATCAATAGGATTCTAATATGAGTGCTTGATCAATAATGACTCATTCACAAAGTATGGAAACTTGTTTCTTTTTTACTCATTAAATGAATAGTATTTAAATAAAGAAGATATGTTGTTGTTGCTGTTATTATTATTACTATTATTATTATATCTAATATTCATATGTTCTGCAGTACACTTCTGCAGTACACTTTTATATCCTTGGATGTAAAACCAGGACTAGGACAAAAAAAAGTCAAGGTAGAAGATTTGTCCATGTAACCAAAGTCCCATACTTTTTTATGTGTGTTGCAAGCATTATCTTGATGTCTCAGACTCTCCTGTGAGATGTCCCTGGTTTGACATCCAGTGACATCATGATGCATAAGATAGTTTCCTATGAAAATTACTAAAAGTGATTTTCCATTTCTAAATTCTGCTTCCTCCTCCTCCTCCTCCTCCTCCTCCTCCTCCTCCACTATAGCATTAGTATAACATGGCAGTATTTTATCCAAGAATAAACAAAAGTACAAATAATATGATTATAAAATAAACAAAATAAATTTAATTAAGTAATTATTGTACATTTAACCATGTGTTAACTATTCTTAACAAGTTCTTAGGTTTTTTTCAAGATATGCCAAGATTGGCTGTCTATGGAGAATCTCAGTCATCCAGGTCATGGTTGTCCCAAAGGTGCTTTTTCAGAAGGCAACTGGACTTTCTTGTTTTTCTTTGAAGACATTTCACTTCCAAGAAGTGTCTTCAGCTCTGACTGGATGGTGGGGAATGGAAGGATTTATATTCCTTGCAGACAGATGGAATGGTGAGAGAGCATGAACAGATTTCCAGAAAACATTACAGACTACAGCAACCATTTGCACTTCAGTTTGAAATGCAGACAACACACTCTCAACCTCAACTGCCTGTGCCTGTGAAGGGACTCAGGGCAGAAAACATCTTGCATCCAAGAAGGCTCCACACCCATTTGCACCACTCAGGTGACCCTGAGGACACAGAAAAACTCCAAATGGCTTCAACGACTCTCTAAAAGAAATCAAATGACCAGTTGTCTGCAAGGCATATAAATCCTTCCATTCCCCACCATCCAGTCAGAGCTGAAGAAGATTTTTGAATGAGAAGTGAAATATCTTCAAAAAAAAAAAAAAAAAAAAGAACCAAGAAAGTCTAGTTGCCTCCTGAAAAAGTAGCTTTGGGACAGCCAAGATTGGATGTTCTTTTTACATCCAAGCTATTTGCATAGTCAATGCTACAGCTTTTTACATGCAACTCTGAAGTACTTAACTAAAGGGAGAAAAGTAAGAAAAAACAAAAATCAATTATGTATTTATCAATAATATTTTAGTTTTGAAACTGAAGTCAGCCCAGAATTTTTTTTGTGCTACAATCAAAGCAGCCTGGAAGATGAATACAATATTTGCTCTACAGATTAAAGCACATCCATGCACTTTATGGTCCACATCTGGCCCTTTGCCTGTCCCTGTCTGTTCCATGGTGGCATAGGCAGGGGCGGGGGAGCAGTGATGAGGGGTAAGGGGTGGGGTGATGGCAGCAGGGCAGTGGTGGGAGAAGTGGTACAGCAAGGGATAACAGCAGCAGAGGGGGGAGTGGTGACAGCTTTCCATAACAGTCCCACATTCTCATTTTGCCCTTTGGAAAATTAATTGCTGACCTCTGGGTGGATTAAAGACAGTATGAACAAAGCTCTAACCACATTTTCCAACACCCACATGACTTTAAAAGTATACTAGGCTCCTGAGAAATTCCTCCTCCGAGGATAATTACAAGCATCCCATAGATAAAACTTTCTTTTTACCTAGCACTCTAACATCAAAATAAATTGTTTGAAAAGCAATGGATACTGCCACAGATACATGAGAAAAGGGTCTGAGGATTTATCTCCTATTAGAAGTTCTGAAGTCTAAAGAACCAAATGGAAAATGAATCTGGAGTCAGCGAATTCCTTCTGCATGGATTCCCTGATACTGAGGAGCTATGGATAGTCCACATTGTTGTATTTTTAATAATTTATTTAGTAGCCCTCATTGAAAATCTCATCATTATCACTGTCATTGTTTATAGTCATCAACTCCATTCACCCATGTATTTTTTTCTAGTCAATCTATCCTTGCAAGATCTTGGCTCCATCTCTGTCACAGTTCCCAAGTCCATGGTGAATTCCTTGATGAACACTGAAGCCATTTCTTACTCTGGATGTCTTTGCCAGGTTTTTTTCCTTGTTTTCTTCATGATGTCTCACTTCTTTCTCCTCTGTGTCATGGCCTATGATCGTTATGTAGCCATCTGCAGCCCACTGCATTATGAGACTATAATGAGCAAAAAAGCCAGCATCCAAATGGCAACCAGTGTCTGGATAGGTGGGCTGTCTTATTCAATGCTCCATACAGGAAATTTGTTTACAGTGAAGTTCTGCTCTAGAATCATCAATCAGTTCTTCTGTGAAATCCCTCAATTGCTCAAGATCTCTTGCTCTGCCTCTTATGTTGCAGAAGAGTGGGTACTCATCTTGGGTTCTTGTTTAGCATTCATTCTTTTTGTTCTGATTGTTTTTTCATACGTGAGGATTTTTAAAGCAGTTTTGCAAATCCCATCTACACAAGGGAAGCAAAAGGCCTTCTCTACTTCTTTACCTCATCTCCTAGTCATTTGTCTGTTTCTGGTAAGTGGTACCTTTGCGTACCTGAAACCCATATCCAGCTTCCCATCAACATCAGACATCCTGATTTCAACATTTTACTGTGTGGTGCCACCAATCTTGAATCCATTGATCTATAGTATGAGGAACAAGGAACTCAAAATGGCATTCTCAAAGCTGATCTTCAAGTTTTCTTCCAATACCTAACAAAATTTTCTCAATTTTGTGTATTCAATAAGTGCTTTAAATTAATTATTGAATACAACACTGGACAGCTTACAACCAATAAATCTTAATTTAGGTTAAAAAAATATTATTTTTTCAGACCAGCAACTAGCATTAAATCTTTGTGAAACAACATAAAAAATACAAGTATAGAATGCTGTCATGTTAAATTCCATATTCCTGTTCCTTTAAAGGAGAAATGTATCCATTCATTATGATTTATATTACTTGTATTTTATTGCAGAAATAATATAAATATATAGAATGGTAATGTTCCTGTCTCTATATGGATTTATTTAAATATAAATTTTATACTGGCTTCCTTAATTGCTTTTATTATATAACATATGCATTTTACTGTCATTTCCATTAATTAAATATGTATATCTAGATAATAATATCTAAAGATAATATTAAATAAAAATATATAAGAATATATTAAAAAAGCAAGAACCAAAGTTGCTTTCATGTATCTCTGAAATTACTTAAGAAACCTAGTTTGTGAATTTAAAACAGAACAGACTTGATCGTATTTATGAAACAGTGCTGGTGAATGGAAAGTGTCCAAGAAAATATTTGTTCAGCCAAAGATTTGTATTCATGCAGTTTATTATAGAACTTTTTCTTTAAAAACAAACATCCTAATTTGTATCATATAATAATATGAAAAAATGTTTTGAGAATTTTCCATAGAGCATGACTATAAAAATATACATCATCTAAATATATTACGGTAAGTAAATTAAACCTTATTTTAAAAGTATCAATTTTATATCTTCAGGGACAAGATAAGGAACCAAAGTGTGAAGGCAGAGGATTTGCTCATTTACTAAGAACTCAATTTTTTGTGTTGAAAACAATATCTTGACATTTCAGAGTCCCCCATTGAGTATCTCTAGTTTGATTTCTAGTGACAATATGATGCATGTAGGTAATTCCCTTCAAAAATATAAAAAAAATGATTTTGCAATGCTTCCTCCCCCCCCTCCTTTGTATAATGTGATGGTACTTCATACAAGCATAAAAAACTATAACAGCACAGTTAACAAGTTAAACAAAATATTTTCATCACATAATGGAGATACATCTCATTATATACTGACCAATTTAATAAATCCTTATGTTTTATAAAATAAGTCAAAATCTAATGGATGTTACCTGGAGGATTATTTGGAATTTCTTGTTAGAAATTTGCATTTTAATAATTATAGGCTTTCCTACTGCCTCCTTAATAAGATTATTAGTATGAGATGCTAACTATTTTCATCCAAGTATAAAATGTCTGTATCTCAGAGTAAAAATTGATTTGACATTTTCTGTAGCTCATCTCCATATTAAAAAAAATCTCAATAGTATACCTTTAGTATTAAATACAATGGCACTGCCAAGTGCCAGGGAAATCAGCAGTTGAAACGATAATAAAGATTTATTGTGAGCTTAGGCTTTTTACAAAAATCTGAACCACTAATGGCCCAAGCAAATTGGTGGTAGATAAGACTTCAAGGAATTCAAGGTAGGCTGGACTGATATCACATTTGACCTCTCCCTCAGACTCAGCCTGGTCATCTCCTATAGATACCTGGATACTCATCATTAATTGGTTCCAGAAGGCATGATAAGTACCAAAAAAAGATAAGTACCAAGCAATTTTTCCCATAAGGAATAATGTAGTGCCGTGGTGGTGAACCTATGGCACGTGTGCCACAGGTGGCACACAGAGCCCTCTCTGTGGGCAGATGCACCGTTGCCCCAGTCCTAGGCTTTCAGTCCCATCCATGAGCAATCTGCATCTGCAGGGTAAGGTTGCCGCGCCCGCCCCTGCTGCCCCCAAGCATCAGACTTTCTAACTTCTCATGAGATCTCAAGAAGTTAAAAAGTCTGATGGAACTTTTTTTTTTACCCATAGTCCCACAAACACGCGGCGGAGGCTGAGAAGAGAACGGAGAAACTGAATGCAGCTGAAAGGCAGGTTAGTAAAAAAAAAACCACTTGGGGGAGGTGAGTGCATCTGGGCAGGTGCGGCAATCTTACCCTGCATGGTGGTGGGAGTGTGGGAAGTAGTGTGTGCCCTTCCCATGCCAGGCCAGGTCACCTGCAGCCCCAAGGGTGCTCCTCCTCCGATCATGCGTCATCCCCCTCCACAACTTCAGTGAGCAGCATGGGAAAGGATAATGGCGGCTGCGGGGGACCCAGGAGGAGCTGTGCAAAGCAGGCGGAGGGGAGGCTGGGCACATTGTGGGCATCGCTTCTCATCTCCTCTACACTGCTGCCGCCACCACCACTGCTGCTTTGGCCAAAGTGACCGCCACCGCCGCAGGCCTGCCCACCTCTGCTGCTGCCATGCCGCTGCCCCGCTCTGGCCCCAGGCAGCACCTCTGCCCTGTGAAGTTGCCCCAATCACACCTGCTCTGAGCCCACAATCAGCCTCTGTGCCACTGCCACCGCTGCGGCCACAGCCACTGCTGCTTTGATACAAAGCAACCCAGCCATCACTGCTGCCGCCACAGTCCTGCCCGGCTCTGCCACTGCCATGCCACTGTCCCACTCCAGCCCCAGGCAGTGCTTCTGCCCTGCATGGCTGCCCCGCTAATGCCTGCTCTGAGCTCACAATTGGCTGCCACCACAGCTGCAGGATGGTGCAGAAGTTGCACAACAGGGGCATGTATCCAAACAGCTTGGGCAAGAAGAAGGTGGGCTTCATGGGGCTGGACCTCGGTGCCCCTGAGTCCTCCCGCGACAAGGCCCTGCTGATCGTGGTGGCAGGAACATAGCTCAATCCTCAGCAAGCCCTGCTCGGCCATCAGCGGGAAGCTAGCCAAGAGGAACGGCTTATACCGCAAGCTCCAAAATTTCCTCTACAACGTGCTGGAAAGGCAGTGTACTACTGTCTTGGAATAGAAAATCAGGGCAGGGGCAAAAAAAGAAAGTAGAGGATTTGCCCATGGAAGTATTATCTTGATCTTTTAGAATTCCCTTTGAGTGTCCCTGGTTTGAGGTCTGGGGACAACATTATATATGAAAATAGTTTCCTTCAAAAAGTATAAAATGGGACTGCCACTGCAAAATTCTTCTTCTTCTTCTTCTTCTTCTTCTTCTTCTTCTTCTTCTTCTTCTTCTTCTTCTTCTTCTTCTTCTTCTTCTTCTTCTTCTTCTTCTTCTTCTTCTTCTTCTTCTTCTTCTTCTTCTTCTTCTTCTTCTTCTTCTTCTTCTTCTTCTT